TCTTCCATAAATTTATTGGAAAACAGATATCAATGAGACAGTTTCAAACCAAACTGGTAGGACAGTTTCAATAATTAACACATTGTATACATTCTTCCTAGTGGTTAATTGCTGTACAAGATGCAGACATGATAACCTACTTACAAATACCATTGGAAGAAATTCCTCTATTCATTATGAGAATATAACTGTATATAGATCTTAACAATTGGAATACACAGATGCAAAATGGACATTTATCTGCATCCCCTTTTTGTTAAGTTCCATTATTTGAAAATTGTACGTGTGTAAAGTCAGCAAAATATTCTATTTTATATTTTTATTTTATTTTTTTATTTATTTTTATTTATTTTTGCCATAATTTTATTGATAAACAAATAACAATGAGACAGTTTCAAATAAAATCGGGAGGCCAGTTTCAATAATCAATACAATGCATACATTCTTCTTAGTGGTTAATTGCTGTACAAGATGCAGACTTGATATCCTATTTACAAACACCATTAGTACAAATCATTCTATTCATTAAGAGAATGCAACTATATATCTATCCTATCCTCTTTGAATACATAGACACAAAATGGACATTCATCTGTATACACTTTTTTTGTGAAGTTCCGTTTTTTGAATATTATAGGTGTGTACACTCAGTAAAATATTCTAAAAGAGTCCAGTAGCACATAATAGTATTGGGTCTTCCGCTTCACTGGAAATGTCAGAAAATGTTGACTTGAGCTCCCTATAGCTCGACATAACAGCATGCCTTTACTTCTTATATTTCGTTTTTATATTTCTCTGCTGGATGGTTAAGACCAAGGTAAAGCCGGTCATATGCAACAAGAGTTATAGCTTTTGGGTCTGATAAGGTCAGTGAAATACCCTCAGGATTTATCCTGAGATCCTGTACCTCAGATTGTAGAACTTTTGTCAGTGTTAGCAATGTGGATGAGTCACGCCCTTTGCTTGGCCACTGTGCTCTCTATGAAAGCCAGAGAGAGTGTTTTCTCTCCATGTGACTCTTCTTAGGAACACTTTACACCATCGATCACTTTCCTCTTTGGCCCCATAATCTCTTTGATCAGAAAATTTGGGACACTACTGAGTTATATGATGTTACAGTACATGTTCTCATATGTCCTGAGTCTTTTTTTTTTTTTCCAAAGTTTTATTGACAAACAGATAGCAATGACACAGTTTCAAATCATATCAGAAGGACAGTTTCAACAAATAATACACTGCATACATTCTTCTTAGTGATTAATTGCTGTACAAGATGTGGACTTGTGATCCTATTTACAAACACCATTAGAACAAATCATTCTATTCATTAAGAGAATGCAACTATATATCTATCCC